GGGCCGCGAGCGCCAGCCAGCAGTGCCAGCGGCGGCGGCAGCGAAGGCGGCGGCAGTGGCAACGGGCGAGCTAGTGCTCCAGGAAGGAAGGGGGAGCTGTAGCTCGGACGAGCCGGCCTTGAGCGGGGCAGGCAGGGCGTGCGTGCGTGCGTGTGTGTGTGCGTGTGTGTGTGCGTGTGCGTGTGTGTGTGTGTGTGTGTGTGTGTGTGTGTGTGTAGTTGATGAATTCTCCCCTCCCCCGATTTAAAACAAATACACCAATCCAAAGTAGAGAATCCCGCGCCCCCCGCCCCACCGTATATAGACTCTCCGCGTAGCCAGAGGCGCAAGAGAAAAGTCCTGCCCTTCCTCTCCGAAAGAATGTGCCAGCCGGGTGTCCGCAGTGCTGGAGACAAGTTCAGGTGTAAGTGAGGTGGGAGGGAGGGCGCTCTGTGGACACAGGCACGTGGATCCCTCCAAACTCTCTGGCGGAGAAGTTTCCAGGAAGGTTTGTCAGCATCGCTCCGGGAGGCAGGGATGAGTAACTGGAGGTGGGCATAAAAGAGTAGGGGCGTGAGTTGAGAAATCTTTCAATCTGTGCGGCAGAGGGAGGCGAGTGGAATTTGGCGGAGCTGGAGTCGGCAGGTTCCAAAGGCTGGTCTGGCGGTCCAGCGATCTTCTTAGGGCAAGTGAATAAAATGAGCATCCTTGTTTAAACGACGAAATCACGGGCTCTTTTCCCATAGGCTATGCCGTGTAGTGCTTGGGTAGAGAGGTCATGAGCTGTTGCTTTGAAACTTTCAGTAAATTGGACTTCTGATGCCTAGGAGGTGGAGACAGTTACTTAATTCCTCAGCTTTTAATCCTTTCATTGCCAACAAACTTTATAAGGTTTTCCGACCAGATTCCTGAAAAAAAAAAAAAAAATTGAAAGTTGCACAGTTTAAGGGACAAGAGAAGTGATTGCTGTCTAGGAAATGCAAAATGCGCTCATATGATTTTTTTTTTTTTTTTAAGAAAATCAAACTGGTACCAGTATGAATGTTTGGCAGCGTCAGTCCCTTTCAGATTTTTCTTCAGGATTCCTGGCATTTAGTACTGGGTTCCTTTGTTTTGTGGAGAAAACGTGTTGAAGTTTAAAATGAAAAAATTTAAAAAGAATACTGGTCTCTTTAAATGTTATATGTAAAAAGTAATACAAGTGTGATAAGATGAGATGCTCCAAAATCTGATCATTTGGAAGGTTTTACTGCCTAAATATGTGAAGCAAGGTGATGCAGCTTCCTGATTGTTTTAGGTAGCAGGTCATTCTGTCTTGTTTCATGCTGTTTTTCAAATTTCTCAGATTAGAGGAGGGGACCACTGTCCCACGTTTCTGAGAGTTTACCAAAAAAAGGTCTTAACTATGTGTTGGTGTTTAATATTCTTAGGATACATTCTTTTTTGTGATGTGAGTTGGGCTGAACATAGTATTCTAAAAAATAAGTCTTTTCTTGACTTGTCTGTAAAGGTTCCTGTGAAAGTTTTGAAGCTCTCTGCTTCAGTCTGACATTTTCATCAAAGGACTCCAGATTAAAGAAGATAGAAGCTGCAGGTGCACTGTTTCGATAAAACATTTGAAAGAGAACATGGTAAAGATGAATTCAAATGAGGTGCCAGCCACCCATTTAGCCCTTCAGAGTTACAGGGGCCTGTGCTTGCTGATGAAAAGGCGTTCTATTCGTCTTGCTGGGGCAAAGGTGCAGAGAGGCACAGATGTTCACTTGTTCGAAAAGGCAATCTTACGTTGACTTTAGGATAGAGTGGACCATTTAGGAGTGCAAACCGATCACCTTCCAAATTCAGTCTCTTCTAGGCTTCCAATGGGAGGGTCTAACGTTAACTCCTATAAGTCATTGCATAGATATTTAAGTACTAGGTATGTATGTTTTATTTCTAGGCATTTTGCTTAGTTTAATTAGTAAGTTTGCTCCGGAAACATTTAAACTGTCTCTGGCACAGGGTGCAGATATTGTCACTGAGAGACCACAGTGGTCTAGATGTGAATTTTATTTCCTCTGCTTCTTGGTGTTCTGTATTTCGCACAATAGACATTGATGGCAGGAACATAAGAATTGACATCTCATTTTTACACCACTCTCTAATTTGTGCAAACACTAAGTTCTCGCAGTCTGAAAATGTGTGTTTTTCCCTCTGCGCTTTGATGGCTAACATTCTTTTTAATGATAGTCATTTCTATAACAGGAAGATGTTTTCATTTGTATTTACTTTTCAGCGTGGCGCAATTATGCAGTTTTGCGCTTCAGTAGTGTCTCGGTACTTTGTGTCTCAAAAGAGAATTACAGTACTTAGAACAGGACTGCAATTTGAAGCAGGTGTTGTGTTTTACTGTTATGCAAAATAACAGTAAAATATAATTGTGGGAGAAATTAAGGAAACAGCTGCAAACTTGGTATGAAAACTGCTACATTATGATTTGTAAGCAGTTCTTATAGACATCTTACATCAGAGGAGCAGGGAAAGATTTTAATTTCGTTAATCCTACTGGCCTGGTTGTTCTATCAACTGGTGCTTAAAGGACTCATACCTCCCATGAAGTCAGGAAGAAGAAAGAGAACCCAAAGTGACACTTTGTTTAAAATGCCAGCGCCCCAGGGAATCATCTCTTGGCAGTGCCTTTGTACATTAGGAATTCAGGCAAGGTGGGTGTTTAGCTCGCTTTGCTGAGATGAAGAAGGCAATGATTTGAGTAGAACGCTGTGGAATTTCTTAGCCCAGCTAGCATATGGAGGTCTACACAAGCCCCGGGTTGTAAAATAATAAAATAAATGGCCTATAGCAGGCCATCTGCCGTTTGCTTGATATTTAAGGTGTTTCATGCCAAATTTAAATCTAATCTTATTATTCTAAATATTTTTATTTGAGATAGCAGCTAAGACTCCGGAGCTTAATGGTGCACATGGCAAACGTATTCTGATGTGGAGCACTCAAAGTAAAAGCGTAGGTTACCCGGGGGTTACCTGAGGACTGTGCTACTCGCTGCTGCTGCTGCTTCTCTGCTGCACCGATCAGTCTCAACAGCCCAGATGCAGGGATGGGCTTTCCTCTGTCTTCGCACACCTTTTATAAAAATAAACATCCTCCTTTTGAACCCAGTGCAACAAATTATATATTGACATTTAAAAAAAGATTCAAAACTAGTGGAAACAAAAAAAAAAAGGAAACCCACTACCGAGATTTATACAGCAGCAAGCAAGAACGAGGAGGTAGATGTAATGGCTGCCCTCCTTTACTGCTCCCTCCGGGCTCAAAGAGGGACGGTAATGCATGCATCTAAAGTGGTGAGCCAGGCTTGGATGTCTTGGACTTTCACCTGTGAGTGACTGTAGTCTTTAAAGAAATTATATGACATTTAGCAAGAAGGATTTGCCTTACCATAAAGTTCTTGGCCAGAGTGTACCAGGCGTTGAGTACCTATGTATTTTGGGGACTACTCGTGAAGGAAATAATTACATACAAAGTATGCATACATGATGTGTGTAATATAGGTACACACAGGTATTGTTATGAGCATAGCATTTTACATTGTCATTTGTCATTGCGTTGTATGGCTGTGTTAAGCATTGAAATTTCAAATTATTATATGACATCAACTTGTACAGACCAAATATTCCAGTTAGCAGGGAAGGTTTGGAAGAGTGTCCACTTTGAGCACAAACCATTTATAGTTAGACACCATGGCAACTGTGAAGATGGCCCTTCTGTAATTCATGTTAAGTGCTTTAATTATAATTAAAGAGGGAATCTAGTTTGAATGCCATTGAAATGATTTGCTAGCAGCCAGCAGTGTCATACGGAGTGTAATGTCCACTCTGAAGTCCTTGCAGGGTAGAGAGTTGGGAAAGGTTGTATCCACGAGGCAGCAACACAGATAAGATTTTTTTTCGTGAACCACTTTTTATGTCTAGGTGTCACATTTGACATCTCTTAGAACACCCTCTTTTTCTTTGTTCTAATTTTATATTTTTTTTTCCCCAGAATTGCACAGTGGTATTGATGAGCAAATCCTTGGGTTCAGAATTTGGCTGAAACGCACCATGCCTGCTTCCATCCTTTGCTCTGGAAAGTTGTGAGTTGCTCATGCCTATAGGGAGGAAGGATGGCACATGGGATTCCTTCTCAAGGCAAAGTTACCATAACGGTGGATGAGTACAGCTCCAACCCCACCCAGGCATTCACGCACTACAACATCAACCAGAGCCGATTCCAGCCGCCACATGTACATATGTAAGTATCGCTCATGAACTTAAAAAAAACTAGCAATCGAGAAAATAAATATAAAATAAAGAAGTTACTAATGACTAATGCCAGGGAGAATAAAAAGTATCTGATTTGCAAAACAGGTGGGCTATCTGTGGTTTCAGAGCTCCGGAGGAATCCCTCACATCTGTGCGACACTTTAGATTTTCAGAGTCCTCTCAATCACAATTTAACATTTGATCTTCAGAGCCTCTGAGGGGTGGTGGTAGGTTGCCCACATTTCGTGGATAACAACAGAGAGGTTAAGGTATTTGCCTAATGTCACGCAGTGAATTTTGGCAGAGTTTCTTGACCCTTTGTTCAGTTTGCTTTACATTGTATTTCTTGCCTCCATGATCAAATATTTCTCGAAAATCTCTGTAGTTTTATTTCCCGTCACCTCACCCCACTACCCCTTTACATTCAGCTGGGAAATAGGCCTAATTAGGACTAATTGTTTAGCCACTGCTAAACCCATTGTCTTGCCTGTTGCTCTGGAACGTGTGCTGCATGCTGCATGGCTTGAACAATATGGGGAACAAAGAATTAAGGGACAGTGGAACACTTGGTTCCAGGAATTGTACTTTTCTCTCACTCCCTAATACTATTGAAGTCATGTTGCCATTTAAACTGTTTAAGGAACAAAGTGTGGGAGAAATCAAGAGGCAAGGATTTTGCAGCACCTGGATGCACACCAGCTTTTTTCTGTTCCTTTGCTACAGGATGTGCTGGGCTTTCAGCAGATGGGGCAAAAGGTCACCATCTCCCTTGTTTATTCAAGGCCCGGTGCTCATTCTCTATTAGACGCTTCCAATGTCTAACACGAGTCTTTCATAGTAGGACTGAACCTCTTTGAAGACTATTGTATAGTCAAGAGAGAAAGGAGGTTAGAGCTCTGTTGACTGTTTTTGCCATTCCTTGCAAAACTGAACTAAGGGCATGTCCAAGTCACAAGCTCTTTTTTTTAGTAATTGTTTTATTTGGGCATTTAAAAAAATGGTAAAGTCACCCTCCCCAATACACACATATACATACACACACACAAACACAAACCCCCCTCAAATTTAGAAACACTAACCAAACAAAAAGATCTTTCTCTTGACTGCCTGTGTATTAGTGTAAAAACTAGGATGTTACTTTGCAAGTATATTCAATAGAGCCACTCAGTTACTGTGATGAGAGTTCTTAAAAAAAAAAAGAAAGAAAAAATAATCCTTGCAAATGGTTGGTGCTAAACTATTTCTAAGAATTTTATACATTCTTTAAATCAGACTATTCATGATTATGAAGCGTCGCTAACATGATTTTAAGGAAAAGTTTTTAAGGTGGATAAGAATTTTCTTTGTTAAAATGGCTTTTCTGAACAATAACTATGTGTTCGTTACATATATTTATTTTACTCTGCTTTTAATCATTTCTTTTTTTTTCAAATATATTATAGAATTTGTGCAGGTGGACTTAGGATACTTTTAGCTCTATTTTGCTTAGGTGACATTTTGTATTAAAGAATAGCAAAGAACTTTGTGGATTCTCTTTCCTTTCAGTTAAAAGAAAGTATATTTTGCCCGAGACTCCTTGGAAAATGACCGATAGGGAATCTCAGCTTAGTCTTCACTAGTTCGTTGCCATAGATTCCACTCGTGAACTGTGAATGCGCAAAGATATTTTTAAAATCATGTAACCGTAGAACTGATCTGCTTAGATCCAACCATGAAAAGTTCAGATCAAATTATATCCTTTTTTTTTTTGGAAAAAAAAAGCCTTGAAAAATGGGCTTTTACCAGACATCCGTCCTACCTTGGAGTAGAGGATTCTTTCATGGTCTGGGTCGAGCTTGCTTTTTCACATTCATCACCCACTGAGGGCTTCCTACCTGAACCCTTTGCTCCAGCTACACAAGTTGGCTCACTGTCACCTGAGCACGCCTTGAGCCTTTCCATCTTAGTGCCCCTGCTTTCAGTGTTTCTCACAGTGGAGACACTCACGTTTGTGTTCTGCTCATCAAACGCCTCAGAGCCAGTTCAGGCTCTTCTACCTTGTGAAACATCTTCTGTCTTTCCCAGTCCAAACTGACTGTGCCCCACCCAGCACAGTACCCTTAGTCACTGGGCAAGCATTGACTTCAGACCACCGCCATTATTATTTGTCTCTCTCTCTCTTTCTCTCTCTCTCTCTCTCTCTCTCTCTCTCTCTCTCTCTCTGCCCCCCGCACACTCCCTCTCCCTCTCCCTCTCATCCTTTGTTTCTTAAAGGCAGAGATTGAGCAGGTGGCAGGTGCTTAGAAATACTGATTGATTGATTGACCCATAGATTAATTTGATTGTGCATCGAGATGAGAAATTATGTTTGAGATTTGGAGAGTTTCACTGGAAATTTTCTGAGCCATTTTAACATGGTGAGTGTTTGTATGAAGGTGCATGCATATCATCAAGATACTGGCTCACCTTTTCCTTGCCTTGACTTTTCCGTGCTTGATGCCTTGGCACAGTGACTAGTTCATTCTAGGCATTCAAGTATATGAAATGCAATCATGTTCTATTTCTGTTATATTTTTTTAAAACACACTTAGTCTAATAGAAATTTAAATTGGCTGGAAAGTATTCATAAAATATTTAATCTAAAATTTCTTAGTTTTTCCGAAATTTCCAACATGTTGTACAGAGCGTTGCTCCTGTCCCTGAAGGTATTTTGTCTTTTTCACTTGATTAGTTGCTCATTTATTTTGCGTGGGATTTTTAAAACATTCGTTTTCCTTTTTAACCTACAACTGAGGTCCGTGTTTACCCGGAACAGATCTCCTGGATTGGAGTTAAAATCCTGCTCCCTAAATGATCCATTGTTTTCTTTCATACAACCTAGTTGGGGTTTTCTCACTTTAGTTAAGAAATAGCTCATTTCCCATTTAATTCAGTTAGTCTCACTTCAGCTTTGTGATCCACCTTGGGCAATTCACTTCCCTTCTCCAGGCCTCAGTTTACTCATCTGCAAAGGTTTGCGCCAAATGATAGTTATGGATATTTTAACTCTAACACACTAAGGTTAAGATTGCAGCTAAGACAATATTCATTTGCAAGATGATGTAGCAGGGGAACACATATTTATATGACCTGGTCCCTATCTTCATGAAACTCATCACTGATTTCAGAGCTGTTGTTCAACTGGCTTTAAGAGGTTTACTGCTTTGTCTCGGTTTGGTTTCACTTGTGACTTCTAACCAGGCTACAGCCAAGCTTTCTAAGAACCATTGGCCTGCATCTCTGCCTGCGACTCAGGGAAGATTTTTTTTTTAAAGAAAGCAATTCTGTATGACCTTGAGAAAGAAAATTAAAGTACAGCTGGAGTTGGCAGAGTAGAATGTAACCTAGAATTTGTGTGTCCCTCTTACCCAGGCTCTTAAACACACTAATAGATGTGATGATTGGAAACCAACAATTAATATGCCTTCATTTTTCTACAACTCTTTCATCTTTCCCAAGAAGACTGTTGAGAAAATTATTTAGTAAATTTAATGATGGTAGGAGGAGGTGCTGAAGGAGCCACTGTAGGTTTGAAAACACCATAAAGATTTTGGTTTTTTTGGTAATTATTTGAAGCCTAATAAAATATTACAAAACCTTTTTAGTAGGGTATCCAACCATCTCAGTTTTTGCACCGGAAGTCCCATGTTCTAGAAGACCCCTTAGTCTCACGTTACCCAGGGTAGTTGGTCACCCTACCGAGGTTAATTCACCTTTTTCTTTAAGGATTGGTTGTTAGAAAGCTCAAATCAAATTTTATTTTCAGTTTTAGTCACTGTGCTTGTCCGTAGCCTCGGTTGACAGCACCCCTGGAGTCTTAACTTAGTTTTGGTTCTTTTACACCTGTATTTGGAGGACTGCACAGCGCGGTGGTTGACGTCGCCACTGGAATCAGATTGTTGGATTTAAAACCTGGTTGCATCACTTGCTGTAACCAACTGTGGAGAAATGTATTAATTTCTCTGTGCTTGCTTTTTCCATTTGTAAAATGTGGACAATAAAAGTAGTGTCTATCTCAAAAGGTTGTTGCGAAGGTTAAAAACAGTATTACTTGTAAGGTTCTTAGAGGAGTGCTTAGTATGTGGTCTATACTCAATAAGTGGTAGATGTTATTATTAATGATTGTTTTATTGATTCCATTTTTTTTATTCTAAGCTGTCTCAATTTGTTTTGAGAATCAGTGGAGTATAAATAAATGAATTCATAAGAAAAATCACTCGCTGCTAAGTTTGGTCCAGCAAACTTTTCAGGGTGGGATTTTTGGCTGTCAAGGTTGGCAGGTGTCCTGACTTTAGTGTCTGTCAAGATCATAGAGAGTTTAGGAGTGTCTCACCTACCTCCAGTTTCTCCATGGAAGTGACAGTTCTACGGAGAAGGAATCCCGTGAGGTGAGGGTTGCCTGGTTGTTCTCTAGGGTATCACAGTGGCCTTCTCCCCACTTGGTGGTGGTTAAAATAGAAGCATCAAGAGTTAACCGTAATGAACCAGGGTTGAGTGCAAAGGGCACAGATTGGGCTGGGGAATGAGGACAGGATTCACATGGAAGATGAGAATGTGGTCTGAAATCAGATCTCTCTATACAAATGCTGATCCCACCAATTACTGGCTTGGCTGGATAATGATGGACAAATTACAGAACCTCAGTCTTCTCTTCTGTAAATCGGTTTAATGACCCTTTGAAATGGTTGTGAGCATTAAGTGTGATGATGTATATGACATAGTGCCTAAAAGATAGCACTTGATAAGTAGTTGTTGGGATAATATTTATGGTCTTATCCATTTGCTGGTGAGCATGAGATAAATATTAACATCTTTCTTTTTAAACTGCTTGGTGGTATCAAACCTGAAAAGTCTAACTTGTGTTCTTGTTGCTTTGCTGCATTGTATAGCATCTGTGCTTGTCACTGTTTGCTTGGGCATTGCTAATCAAAAATGATCTGAAGTGTTTGGGGTATCTGGGTGATCATTCCA